ATTCATCAGTAACTTCCGAATGACCAGATCCACCTTCGATTATGTTTGAGCACCTTCGATTAACTCTGTCACGGGAAGAGACACGTCTGCGGCGGACCATAACAGTGCAACGCGTTGGAGTGTAGTGGCTAGCTACAGGTGCGTGCTATCGTACGATAGTTAACTTGTTTATCTTCTCATTCCCGCCTACTTCAACGCAGAATTATGACGTTGTCGCATATCAATGGCGTGCGGGTCGGATAAATGTGACCTGGCCGTTCAGATTGAGGTCGCATTTCAAAAGATCGGATACATATCGGATTTGGACCACATACCCAAGTGGCCTGGATTGCATTTGAAAAGATCGGATCTGTGTCGTTCAGACTGTCATGAAAAGATCAGATACAGGTCGCATAGGGGCAAAAAAAATCGGAATTGGGTCGTTTCAGCCTGCAGTGTGAACGTAGCCATAGTGTCGGCCCAGATCCGGCCCAGATCCGGCCCACATCTGTTACATGTGGATTCCATGCGTACCAAATGTGGGCCGGATCTGGGCCGACACTATGTTGCTGTCTGGGACTGCATTAGATGCTTATAGGATATGAATACTTCAGCTTTCCAGACATGCAGTACGGTTGCTCATCCACTCTTAATCAAAATACTTCAAGCGAAAAAAGTTTGATTTCTGACAAAGAAAACATGCATTATTGACCCACAATTTCTGGTGGCAGACGCCGAATGGCTGCCCTCGTCTTCTCTGATCTCTCTCCTAAACCCTCATGAATCTAAAGACGGTACAGTGAACAGGGAGTCTTCCGCTTCCTGATTGCCGTAAGAAACTCGGTCTTTAGCACAAGCGGACTGTAACAGGAACTCTGTTCACTGCGCTGCTTTTATTAGTAATGCCTCTGGGGAAGGAGGTAAAAGCTCATGAAAAACCAAAAGGCATTAAAGTGCATCTTGAAAATTGCATGGAAAAAAGGTTTAAGGATTTCCCTAAGGGAGGTGATCTAGCATCTGTATAATCACACTGGGTTAGTTTTATGTAAATGATTAAGAGTCAAACGACGAATAAGCTCTTGAGAGATTACGCTCAGTTTAGTGCAGTTCCATCAAGAGTTTAAAAGATCTCTCCTCTGTTGACGCATCAAAACTTGTTTTGGCCTGCATCCCATTTACTTTATGTGCAAATATATATTCTTAATTCAGCATTCAGTTCTTCAATTTCTTCAGGGTATTTTTCTCCAGTAGTAAGTGTTTCGTTGGTAACCTTTATTTAAGTCACTTAAGAACAAGTTCTTATTTTCAACAACAGCCTGGCAGGAGAAAACCTCCTGGAAGGAAAAGCTCAATCGCGTTGGCAATACAACACGGAAATAAACGAATGCTGATTACAGTTTCCATCAAAGGCACATTGGGAAAAACTCCAAAAATCTACCTATATATTTGACTGCAGTTTCCAGCTGAAATAAACACTTTAATTTATTTTCACACATTTGATGATTACAAGGACAGACGGTTAATTAATAAACTCTTATTTTCACGTGGCTCCTTGAACAATACTACGACCAATACTACGAACTTACAAACATAAAACAATTTTACTTTAGTGCATGATCTGTAAACTAATACATTTTGACATTTGCATCTCATAACTTGCTCAATAAAACAATAAAAGTAAAAATGGCATGGCTACTTCAGCTAATGTGATTTTATCTTATGTTTGGTTGTTTAGGGTCGGGTTTAGTTCATTATTTCCAAGGCGATTGAGCGTTTCCTTTTAGACCCACTCACTGGAAAATACATTTCCAAACTGCTGTGATATGAACCAGCAATGTAATAAAACATTGCCAGATTGATGTTCATCTGTGTCGGATATAACTGAAGACGCTCTTAACACTCTTCACTAGACACTTCAGGGCGAGTGGTACCGGGTGGACGGGTTACACGTAGCGTTTTTCATGAGGAAGTCGTGTGTGTTGGGCGTTAAAGCAGTCGTGTGTGTTGGGCGTTAAAGCAGTCGTGTGACGGGGCCTTCAATGAGACGGCAATGATTAAATGAAGAATCGTGACTGAGTAAATAAATCGTGTGTTTTAGGATATTACAAGAAAATGAAAAAAAGGTCCAATTGGCATCAGGAAAATATGAATGTAGAACAAATTCATGGCTAGAAACTGAATTGGAACAATAACAAGAGTATCATGTCCTGATCAAATGGTGTTAAAGGGAAAAAAGCGTTTGCTCGGCCTCAGGCACTTTGTTTGGTGTAACTCAGGTTTCCACCGTGCTCTCGTGAAGCATTCAGCTGTAAAGTGGACGTCGACCAACTGTGATTGTGTTCTGGAACAACAGCAGGAGATCAGGACCGACTGATAGAACTCAATTCCTCCCGTCAGCGTATAATGTTCCTTTAATACCGAGGCTCATTCGTGAAAGGCTCTTTCACGTGACAGCTGCATTCAATGTGCAAAAGCAATCAATTGGATGACAAACTACTACTTCTCGTTCTGAACCCAGCCAAACTCTCATCGAATCAGACGCCTCCCTCATTAACTTTGCATTTTCACCAGAAACAAGAACCTGTCAGCAGAGCCAAGCAATTGAATAATGCAGGTTTTCTTTACGCTATTGATCGAAGCTCCAGGTAAATTATCTTCCCGCCCAGAGTGTTTGCAAACAACTTGAGTGCCTGTAAATTCTCCAATACACTATAAATATAAAAGAGAGACACATGTTTAACGGAGGATGAACAAAAGCCAGAGTGATTTGCTCTTGGAAAAATAAGACAAACTGTTTAAGAAACGATTTTTGGTGCATAAAGGCATGCTTTAAATCTGCAGAAGTGCTGTAGACGGTACCAGTGAGGTCTGGAGGAAGACATGGATATTTTGGGAGAGACTAAGCCTTCTCTGTGTGACTTATTATTACTGGGGATTTTGTACAAATGCAATGAGATGCACTTCAAGAGCTACTAAAACCCATGAAGCCTTCTAGAGAGGCTTGAGGAAGCAGCAAAGCACTTACACATATTATATTAAACAGGAAATTAAAAGAAGAAACCACAGGGGGTTTGGGAGATAGTGAGGTTCCTGTGCTCGTCTTCATGCTTATTGAAGTAAATGAGGGCTGTTGGGAATAGTCTTCTGAAAACACACTGCAGTTCCTTCTTTAAGGACGACACAAAGTCAAAGCTTTTATACAGCAAACTAGAGCTTTCACAGGCTGTTTGGATCATCATAATAGTGGAAGGGTTCAAATGTTTAGACATGCATGTGTAACCCCTCCACCCGGGTCCTACTCGACCCGCTCCGAGCAGGCCTCAAACCCGGGTCTCCGGCATGAGAGTCAGGCGCTCTAACAAGGAGGCTAAAGACTGCAGCCTCTAGCATCTGAGTGAGGTTTACTCGCACAGCAACTACTAGCTGGCCTCCGTTACACATGGATTAAAGCACTGCAGAATGAGATTGTTTATCAAATATGTGAATGTGTTAGCTGTTGTCTCCCTGAACAGCTTCCACACACTAGATGTGTAGGGTCTGCTAGTCCAACAGAAAACATTGCACTATTAAAGACTAATGAATTAACATTTTGCATGAGTTAGTGTTAATATGTGATATACATACTGATCATGGTCAAATCTGACCAGTACTTGTATTATATGATCTATTAGTCATGAGCTGAAGAGCTTACATTTTTAAAATCAAATGTTGGAGCAGATTGAAAACAATACAAACTAATACAAATATTAAGGTTACAATACATCAATAAAGTCACTATGAAGTGCAACAGCTCTTGAAATGCAAACTGTAGTGAAGAAAATCAGAATCAGTGTACAGAATGTGCCAGAATTGGCACAGAAGGTCGGTCTGCAGCTCCAGCGCCGGGGTTACACTTCCACAGATCATTACAAAGGCGGCTCTCTTGCTGCGAAACCTAAATGTGCCACGGTATCCCATGAGTCAACTGTTCATTACCTGACTCTTGGTCAAATTCAGCCAAACAAATGAGTTTCTCTCCTCTGAAATCTTCTTGGTCATGTCTGCAGTCTATAGGAATAGATCAACATCAGCCAAAAATGATAATTCTGTCATCATCATTTACTCGTTGTGACTCCGGTTGTGACTCCATTTTGTTTGGTTCTCAACAATCTTAAAAATATTTTCTTTTGTCTTCCACAGAAGAAAGTCATATGTTTGGAACGACAAGAATGATCTTTTTTGGTTGAAGTTTCCCTTTAATGAGTAACTGCTGATATAAAGAGGGGTCCAAACAAGTGAAAATTACTGTTTTGCATTATTTTCTTATACAAGCTAATTTCACACTAATACACACATTTTCTGAATTGCATCATTTTGCATAACTTTCTAAAACATTAACCAGGAAATAAACAGATTTTATCATACTTTAGAGCCCACTTTATTTCAGAGAAACATGAAACATCAACATACAATTTTATTGTTTAGAGCAGAGAGATGACCTTATTTATCAATACAGCCAAATGAATCGGATTCTAGCATAATTACAGGTCCTAGCTCACACCCAGGCTGCGGCAAATCAACTTAATTATCAGTAGATGGAGTGAAGTTGAGAACAGAGAGGTAAACCTCATGGTAAATCCTGCTTTTATCCCACTACCTGATGTCAATAAAAATATCTGGGCTCTCAAACTGAAACGTCACAAATCAATCTTCTCTCTGCTGAAGCTCCACATTCAATGTGTTTTAGGTGCATTCAAGATCGAAATCAATTACTTTTGAATCATGTTTCATTACAGCTTTACCCCAGTGCTCTCTGGATGGCCCAGGCGCATCAGCTGCGTGTTGTTAAATGGATCTGAGGCCCGTCAGATTGTGTGGTGATGGACTGGTTCTGAAAGAGCTTCTCCCCAGCGAGTGATGAATCTCGGGTCCCAGTGGCTGATTTAACCCTGCGTGTAAATCACAGAACGAAGCGCCCCAGTGACCAGTGTCATTTTGATCCAGCCACAAATCACAGCGCTGGGTCTGCATGGGGACGTCAGTCATAAAGCCGTGCTCCTCCTCCAGCGCTCCAGAATAATCACACACACACCGACTCCGTGCTCCTCCTCCAGCGCTCCAGGGCCGTGAGAGGACGGCGAGAGGCCGGTGGAGGGATTACTGTGGCGAGCAGGACGAGGCTGAGGGCCGTGAGAGGACGGAGCGAGGCCGGTGGAGGGATTACTGTGGTGAGCAGGGCGAGGCCGAGGGCCGTTGGAGGACGTGGCGAGGCCGGTGGAGGGATTACTGTGGCGAGCAGGACGAGGCTGAGGGCCGTTGGAGGACGTGGCGAGGCCGGTGGAGGGATTACTGTGGCGAGCAGGGCGAGGCCAAGGGCCGTTGGAGGACGTGGCGAGGCCGGTGGAGGGATTACTGTGGCGAGCAGGGCGAGGCCGAGGGCCGTTGGAGGACGTGGCGAGGCCGGTGGAGGGATTACTGTGGCGAGCAGGGCGAGGCCGAGGGCCGTTGGAGGACGTGGCGAGGCCGGTGGAGGGATTACTGTGGCGAGCAGGGCGAGGCCGAGGGCCGTTGGAGGACGTGGCGAGGCTGGTGGAGGGATTACTGTGGCGAGCAGGGCGAGGCCGAGGGCCGTTGGAGGACGTGGCGAGGCCGGTGGAGGGATTACTGTGGCGAGCAGGGCGAGGCCGAGGGCCGTGAGAGGACGGAGCGAGGCCGGTGGAGGGATTACTGTGGCGAGCAGGGCGAGGCCGAGGGCCGTTGGAGGACGTGGCGAGGCCGGTGGAGGGATTACTGTGGCGAGCAGGGCGAGGCCGAGGGCCGTTGGAGGACGTGGCGAGGCCGGTGGAGGGATTACTGTGGCGAGCAGGGCGAGGCCGAGGGCCGTTGGAGGACGTGGCGAGGCCGGTGGAGGGATTACTGTGGCGAGCAGGGCGAGGCCGAGGGCCGTTGGAGGACGTGGCGAGGCCGGTGGAGGGATTACTGTGGCGAGCAGGGCGAGGCCGAGGGCCGTTGGAGGACGTGGCGAGGCCGGTGGAGGGATTACTGTGGCGAGCAGGGCGAGGCCGAGGGCCGTTGGAGGACGTGGCGAGGCCGGTGGAGGGATTACTGTGGCGAGCAGGACGAGGCCGAGGGCCGTTGGAGGACGTGGCGAGGCCGGTGGAGGGATTACTGTGGCGAGCAGGGCGAGGCCGAGGGCCGTTGGAGGACGTGGCGAGGCCGGTGGAGGGATTACTGTGGCGAGCAGGGCGAGGCCGACGGCCGTTGGAGGACAGCACGAGGCCGGTGGAGGGATTACTGTGGTGAGCAGGACGAGGCTGAGGGCCGTTGGAGGACAGCACGAGGCCGGTGGAGGGATTACTGTGGCGAGCAGGACGGGGCCGACGGCCGGGAGAGGACAGGGCGAGGCCGGTGGAGGGATTACTGTGGCGAGCAGGGCGAGGCCGACGGCCGTTGGAGGACAGCACGAGGCCGGTGGAGGGATTACTGTGGTGAGCAGGACGAGGCTGAGGGCCGTTGGAGGACAGCACGAGGCCGGTGGAGGGATTACTGTGGTGAGCAGGACGAGGCTGAGGGCCGTTGGAGGACAGCACGAGGCCGGTGGAGGGATTACTGTGGTGAGCAGGGCGAGGCCGAGGGCCGTTGGAGGACAGCACGAGGCCGGTGGAGGGATTACTGTGGCGAGCAGGACGGGGCCGACGGCCGGGAGAGGACGGGGCGAGGCCGGTGGAGGGATTACTGTGGTGAGCAGGACGAGGCCGACGGCCGGGAGAGGACGGGGCGAGGCCGGTGGAGGGATTACTGTGGCGAGCAGGACGGGGCCGACGGCCGGGAGAGGACGGGGCGAGGCCGGTGGAGGGATTACTGTGGTGAGCAGGACGAGGCCGACGGCCGGGAGAGGACGGGGCGAGGCCGGTGGAGGGATTACTGTGACGAGCAGGACGAGGCTGAGGGCCGTTGGAGGACAGCACGAGGCCGGTGGAGGGATTACTAATGAGCGACTCCTGTGAGACGCACCGATCTCGTATCTCACGGAGGAGCGGAAGCATAGAAGGAGGAGCGACGTCAGTGGAGAGAGAGAGGCTATTGCTCGGTCTATTGCTTTGGCAATATTGTGCTATTTAACACATTCATGCCAATAAAGCTAATTTGAATTTGAATTTGAATTTGAGAGGCCAGGCCTGGATTAATGTTGTGTTGTTTATGTTTTATTATGTGACAGCAGTCACCCGTGAGGGGCTGCTGTCTTTTACTTTTGTTTTGTATTTGTTTTGTTATTAAATTCTTTAAATGTTCACCGGTTCCCGCCTTCTCCTTCCCATAACATCTGAACTGCGTTACGCACCTGCAGTCTAAAGCACTGCTTCTGCCCCCTAGACAGCATTACGCTTCGGTATGTAGAGGTCACAAGCAGGAAGACTTTCAGCCACCACAATTTCGCTCTGACACGATGTAGACATGACAATCACTTCATGAACAGATGCATCATTATGGAGAAAATGTGACTGTTTATCCATGTAAAGCTGACATGAAAATCTCTTTTAAATAAAGCGCTATTTAAATAAAGGTGACTACTATAAATGTAAATCCACATTAATTTTATACAACACCTACTGGACTCTGTTTTATTACTCCAAAGAAACACATACTTACACCTCACATTTTCACCTAAACATGCCAAATGTTTTCCTGAATCCCTCTCCTCTCAGTTAATGCTGTCTGCTACATGAGCTGCAGTGTTTAACTACCATCAAGAAGTCAAAGACCAGAAAGAGAGATTATGAAAGAATACAGCTTCCCCTTTGACTCACACATTGCCCAGTATGGTTACATAAGACAGCACTTGATATATAAAACATGCATTTGCATTCAGCTGAAAGACATCACTGTATACCCAGGAGAATGACAGCCTGTCTCATTCTCATCTGCATTCTTTTGAAAAGTGTAACATCCGTTGGCATTGATGTATTCAGCGGCCCGTTCACTGTTAAGCAGATCAGCCCTGCCTCTGAGACATTGCAGAGATGTTCACATTCATAAGGACATTTTGTGGCTCTGCGTGTCAGGACTTTAACTCAGTCAATGGCAGAGACGCTCTACACATGATCTCCGGCCTGATGTGTCCTCATGGTGGATACAGTGGGTGCCGTTACACCGGTCGGGACTCAAAGACACGGGCGGATACGATGAACGGACCTGTGCAGTCACTGGAATGGGTTTCATCCATCATTTCATCCATACTGCATGTCATCCAATAAAAGTAATACTCAAAAATGTTGCCAGAGCAAAGTAAGTTTAGAGCATGTTGCGAGATCTTAAATAACTTGTGCTAAGTGTATTTAACACCGTTATGCACTACAGAGTACAGCGTGTCTGTTTCATCTCAACAATCTGAAAAATGTTTCTACAAGTCAGCAGAACAGGTGAATGTGTCTGTGTGAACCAGAGGAACAGAAAGCAGTCCTGTGTGGCTCTAGCAGTCCGAGCCGGTGTAATTATCCTGTGAATTCATGCCGTTTACCCAGACAGAGGTTTAGACAGGACGAAAGTGCCTGGAGAGGTAATTCAAAGCCCCTGGACGAGAGCCAGAATCATTTTTCATTGTGTGACAGAGGTGACAAGGCCACCAGACACCCTACCGGGGAACAAACTACCGTCTGGTTCCTACACGGTACCTTTACAAGAGAAGCACATGATGACAGGCGCAGCAAAGCTGGAGCGATAATGAGAGTAATTAAGCAGTGTAAAAACTCAGAGGAATTCCCTTTTCCCTTGATTAAGCAGCAAATGAGCACATATCATAGAAGCTGTTTTGGCAAAACCAGGGACAACTTTTTTTTTTGTACATAAAATGATAATGTCAGAGAGTTATACTTCTAAGAGGAATACCAACAGCTTGATGACCAAATAAATGTACAAACTCTAGAGTAGAAATGTGAATTAGCCATATGAGACTTTGAGCTGTTTGTCATGTCAGAAACACTCCACACAGTGTGCAGTTTGATTGGTGTCTAAATTAGCATAAATACATATTTAACCAATTCAAAAAGTGGGTGAACTAACCTTCCCAACCTTGTCAAGAGGGTTAGATTAACTTCATTAACAGAGCGGCGTCCCTCGGGTCTCTCTCAGCGAACGGCATCGGTTCAGGTTCACTTAGAGCTTCAGTTCCCACACGAGCCCCTTCCTTTTCAAGTATATGAAAATACATTAGGATGGATTTGGGTCGTTCATGAGGCTAGTTTTATCACATCACTTCACAGAGATAAACAGGAAAATAATGATTCAATGATGCAAACAGAGTTCATTTGGGCTGTAAAGCAGTTCTATAGACAATAGTGACATTATTCCGCTGAAGTCAGTTCAGTGTGGATTCAGTTCTGTTGTAAAGATCATCAATTATTAAATTAGTTCACTTCATCCATAAAGCAGTTCTGCGTAAAATGATGTCATCGTCCAGCTCAGTTCAGTTCTCATACAGCAGCGTCAGTACAGGCAGATCAATAATATTGTTGAATATTGGTTCTCCTCTGGCCAACGAACAAACACTGTACGATTATGATTGAAGATGCCACACAAGTCAGATTGTGGACGGTCCTTCCGACATGCAGACATGTTCGTTACTATAGCAACAGAGGACTTATGTTAACCCTCGCCCCACTTTATTTTTTTTACTGGCACCTTTCCATTCACACTGTTTTAATACATTTCTATACTTTTGTTACAGTACTTGAGTACATTTTTCATTTTTTCGACTTTCTTGAGTATAATTAAATGTTGGCACTTTTTACTTTTCACAAACGCTTTTGAGCATTTACCTTTCAGAACCACTGACAGGACATTTCATTTCTGAACTGATGACAATAACGGAACTGACAATAATTGTTGTAATAAAACATTGCCAGATTCACGTTCACGTGTTTTGGATAAAACTGAATGTGATTTTAGCTCCACTCACAGGAAATTCCACTTTGAAATAGTCTTGAAATGTGCAAGGAGCAATATACAATACAATATTTATTTATAAAGCACATTTAAAAACAACCAAGGCTGACCAAAGTGCTATACACAACAGAAAAAATAAATACAAATAAAACCAATTAAGAAACACAAAACAATAATCGTACCTAAATCAAGGAGTATTAAAAGCCAAAGAAAATGAATAAGTCTTTCGTGTAAGTCTAGATCTAGGCGTGAGACAGTGATCGCTGGATCTCAGACTTCTGGGAGGAGTGGACGGACACAGCAGATCTTCAGGTACTGAGGGGCCAATTTGTTATAAACAAATAATACAATTGTAGAATCATCTAAATGTGACAGGTAGTGCCGTGTGGGTGAGATGGGCCGACCCGTACTCGCGGGTCCCAGAGAGGCGACCGGCGGCTGCGTTCGGCACTAACCCTAGACGGGAGAGGGAAGACTGAGACACCAATATAATGGGAATTACAATAGAGTAATATAATATACTTTTGCAGAAATGTCTCCACAGGAACATTTTTCCAATGAGTCTGGCCTGCATATATGTAAAAGCACTAAATGTGGCTAATAGCCTGATCTGGGATCTTATAAAAATATGGCTGACATTTATATAGACTTTATATACCTATAAAAAGGTATTTGTTTCAAATGAATGGCACATACAAGGGCGTCTTTAGAGAGCGCAAGAATCGTTTGCAGAAACTGATGAATCGAAAGCCCTTGTATGTAAAAGATTTGGCTATGTATTATCGTTACTCATTTAGAATAATCTAGATTCGTCGAGACTAGAAAGAGGCATGTTGTGAATCAGACAGAATCACATGAGAAAGAACACTGGCACACAATGATTAGTGTGTTTTCTGGCATGATTGTGTGTAGTACATGCGGTCCAGAGCGAGCGGGTCTGACGGGGTTAATGTGCCTGAGAGAACAGATCCTCTAAAGCTGACAGAGACAAACACACAGAACGCTTCTCTACCATCCTGAGGAACACAGCTAACTTCTCTTCATCCTCCTTAGACAGAGGACGAGCCGTGTGTGTTCTCTGTTCGGCTTCAGTGCAAACACACACATCTAGAGCTAGGAAAGGGTTGCTGTCACTTGTACCAGAGAATAAACAGTCATTTTGTGCTGTAAATGCAGCTATTAAATTGTTAAAATAGGCAAAGGCTAGTAAAATATCAAACACTGAAACGTGATACATAAATAATCAAGAAACCAATTATACCAGCTATATATAAACCATATTATAGTCTAACAGTATTTGTAAATAAATGTAAATGATAAATTCTCATGTATGTACAATATACACAAAATAAATACTAATACAAAAAACTCTGACATGTTTTTTATTTTGATCATGTTTTGTTTGTCTTTGTTTATATTATGTTGTCTCTGATATGACGTAAATGCCAACATCATGATGTTTATAGTGCCCAGGCGCTCGCTGTAGTGAACCTGCGGGATTCTCTGGGACGCCGGAGATCCGCTTCAGTCACTGATGGAAACACATTCACCATCTGTCCTGCTTCGTCAGTAATTATGACATTAACCAGCTGGCCAAACTGGCACCGAAACAGACCCTACGAGAACTCTTGCCAGACTACTCCTCCAGAAGCGTGGCTTGAATGAAACTTTACTACTTTAACTTGTCAAGCTCCAGTTTCAAAGTAGTTAGCTACACGTTACTATCAAAAAGAAGCTAGCTACATTTTTAACAATGTCATTATAACAAAGAACTTTAAAAAGCATAATTGTTAAGTAGAATATTTGGGGTTTAAAACAACATAATGCAATGCTTATGATTTCGAAGAGTAGGGTTATTTCAGGTTGGCTGGGACACTTTTCCCCAGTCATTTCAATGGCAAAAACTGACCCAAATCTTTTGATTTCGTAAACTCTCCGATACACACAATACTCAAATATAGCCTATATCTCAAAATGGCTGTCAAAGTGCAAAACTGCTACAAATGTAACATCAGTGCAAGAACAAAATGTATGCAACTTAAATGAAAGTAGTAGTCAGAAAAGCAGGCAAATCTCATAGCACATGCAGTGATGTAGCGCACAG